ATTTTACATTCTCTCCCTATTAAAAAACAGCATTAATAACGCGCAAAGTTATTTAAGGGAAAATGATATTAGCATCCGAGACAAGGTTATGTCCTCTAATATGAAAGGTGACAGCTGTGAGGATTTCATATGAGCCGATATGTTATTGGGACTTAAGATCTGTGGTTTTGAATAGCACCACTTTTATTCATGAAATACTTGGGCGACACAATCCGTACTCTCATCTTTCACTGCGGGCTTAAGGCGTTTCACAGCAATGCTAATGTCCCAACCACAGCTGAAAGCTCTCACATGTCCTGAGGACAAACAGTGGTGTGCAGTAGAGAAAGGTAAAGTGGCTTATCTCTTCTGTCTTATTGGAATCAGGGATATATCAGAGTGATTTTAAGAGTATAAGAACTTTGCTGTCAGTGACCTTAATTGAAACTAAGTGCAGGTTTGATCACATTTCACAAGACTGGAAAGATAGAAGGGTAAATTACCTCATGCATGTCATAGGCAAAGTCTCCTGTAAAACAAGCACATAAAATCTATAGATTAGAATCTTTTACATGATTTTTACTCTTTGCCAGCATAATGTAAAAACAAGATGTGCAGATTAAGTTTGCCCAAGCAGTACCATCTAATCAGCTTCACTAGATTTATATTGTCAGAATTTATTTCAAGAGAGCTGAACTCTTACGTAGTTTTGGCATTTTGCTGTTTCGTTTCTAGTGTTAGATATAAAGAAGCTGAAGATAATGAAGCTAAAACCACAACGCAGCTAGAAACTGGGAGACAACTAGTCTGACTGTGCCTATCATCAAAACCCCAAAATGTATAAATGACAGTTTATAGTTTCACGGGGGATTACATCATCTTGCTTTTCCTTGCTTTCTGTTATTATGGGAAACTAAATTAAACAGTTTCTCTCTATTTTCTTATTCCCGGCACAGACACGATCGCTGCACCAGTCTTTACAAGAACTGCTTCGACAGTTTGGTGATTTAGATGTTGAACAACAGCAAACATGTCCAGCGATGACAGAATTATTGTAAAAGTATAAATAAACCATTTTAAGCCATCAGTCATCACACTTGAAAAATGTAAACTGGTATTTGAAGCAGAGATGTACATAAATCTGCTGATCTCTAACTTTGTGTAACTGCTTGTGATAAAGCGCCATATGGTAAATGGTAAATGGCCTGTATTTATATAGCGCTTTACTAGTCCCTAAGGACCCCAAAGCGCTTTACATATCCAGTCATCCACCCATTCACGCACACATTCACACACTGGTGATGGCAGCTACATTGTAGCCACAGCCACCCTGGGGCGCACTGACAGAGGCGAGGCTGCCGGACACTGGCGCCACCGGGCCCTCTGACCACCACCAGTAGGCAACGGGTGAAGTATCTTGCCCAAGGACACAACGACCGAGACTGTCCGAGCCGGGGCTCGAACCGGCAACCTTCCGATTACAAGGCAAACTCCCAACTCTTGAGCCACGATCGCCCCTTTCACTTTAAACTTCAGATGATCCTTAGAAATCCTGACTCTTTTTAACTCAAGAACAAGAAATGTCAACTTAAAGGCCAATATGTTTACACTTTACTGTTTTTTATTGAAGGAACTAGATTTCAAGGATTGGTTGATTATTATTTGATGATTTTCATGCATTTTCCTTTTTTCTTTCGTGATTTCTTTTTCACAAAAATTGATACTTGTGTTTTTGTTTCTGAGCCATTAGCTTGCTCTGAATTAGGAGGATGTTTTTTGATTGAACCAGTTTAATGTAACATTTTCTCAGGTTGGTGGTGCATGACATGAGCGTTCTTGTTCGTGAATTATTTAACAAAATATTGATATTTGATGTCACTGTACCAAATAGAATATCTAGCGAAATATTGCAAAATGTGAGGTAAAGGTTTTTTTCCCCACTTTTAATATTACCAATATTACAAAAACACAAAATCTATGAATGACATTTGACTGGTACAAAATAACTAAATGCAGTGCTTCACCCATTATTCATACATTATGACTTCACAGCATTAAGATCACTCAGATGTCTATATTTAAGAACTAATATATTATTAACCCCCTCAGCAAGTTGTGTTGCAAATTGTGCTGCTGTGCCTTCTTGAACCAGCGGGAGAGGTAGTTCACTTAGTGTTTACATTGAGGAGAAATAAAAAGGTAAGAAACATTATTTCCTATTTTTAAAAATGGAGAGATTATAAAAGCTGGCGATCCAGTGAATCAAAACTAGGTTCTTTGGCACAACAAAAGTAGGTTTTTGTTGTAAACTGCAGAGTGTAGGTACTCTGCAGTTTAATCAGTGAAGTGATGAATAGCAGGCTAGTGACCAGAATCCATCCCATAATGCTCAAAGCAAATAAGTGCAAATGATGACTATGTGTTATTATGGTAATTACAGTAATTACCACAATGATATATTGCCTCCTCATTAGATATCTCTGTTGGATGTCAGCTGGCTTAATTGATTTGATTTATGTTAATACAAGCTGTGGATGACTAATGCCTTAAGCTGCGGTTTATATAACTTAATGCCTCTTTTACAATGATGAAGGATAAAATATCTAGAAGGGTAGAAGTTACCTATGTGTAAGATGACATCGTACATTCCGAGCTGAGTTTCCTTTTGCAGTCGAGCCAGAGACTGGGGGTTCTCATTGCCGAGGTCACCATAAAAAGCAAACCTGGGACTGGACGTAGTGCTGTCATTAAGAGCAGTGAAGAAGAACACGTCGCTCCAGCCTTCTTCACTGCCACAGTGGTAGACTGGAAAAAATGTAGGAAAAAAGTTTCACAGTTAAGTGATGCATGAGATGGTGTGAGAGCCAAAAGCTAAATGGAGAATAGATTCGTTTGTATAGAGCGCTCTTCTACTCTACATGAGTACTTAAAGTAAAGCTTTATATAACATCCCTCATTCATCCATACGTACAAGCATTTTTTCTACCTAAGTGCTTTCTATCTAACCTTCACACACCAAGGTGGGTTTCAGTATTTTAGGCATACTCACTGGAGCAGCTAGGGATCAAACCACCAACCATCTAATTAATAAATGACCTACAGATACAGCCACCCTAATAAAACTCCACCCACCATACGAAGCTGCCGGTTTGAGGCCTCTGAGTGTGACCCTGTGAATGAACATCTTCCTCTTTTCCGTTCCCGAGTCGACAAACAGAGTCGCGTGTCCTATGGCGCTCATCTCAAAGAGCCGAGCCCCCAGAAGGCTATACTCCACCTTGCTCTCTGTCTCATTGAAGGTTGTCCAGGTCACTACCATAGTGCCTGGCATTCCTGAAGAAGAAAAGTCCATTTATTTGAAATGTGATGCAGATTTGTCTGACAGGAACATTGGATACACTTACTGGTGCATTTATTAAAGCCAAAAGATGCTGATGTGAAAAAGCTGACTTTACAAGAGTGGAACTTTTGATCTTGCTGCTGGCAAGATGAAGCATTATAAAGGCAGACTTGAGTTGGCCAGGTACTTGCATAAAGACATCAGTTCAATAATGAGTACCACATGTTTCACCTTCATAAGAAAAGAACAAAAGGGTTTTTATGCTGCATTAGATACAGGTTTGGAAGTTTAGGTAATTAAACGGTGTCCTCAACCTACATGACAAAAAATACAGTCAGGGAATATTTCTGTGAACCTGCCTGAAAAACAGTCAGATGTAGTCAGTTAACAGAATATTGAGCAATTTGTACAAAACATCTGTAAATCTGCAAGTGACCTGGATACTTGTGTGTATTTCAAAGGGGAAAAATATGTCTGTGAAGGTTCTCAGTCATCCAGGTCCTCGTAGTCAAAGGAGCTTGCAAAGAAAAGCGTCTGGACTTCTTTAAGTTGCTTGAAGACGTTTCATCCGAGAAGCTTCTTCTAAGGTCAAATGGTGGAGAGTCCCAGATTTAAACCTAGTGGGAGTTTCCCCCCAAAGAGGGACAAAAGGACCCCTGATGATCCTCTAATCGCCTGAGCCAAGGTGTGAAACTGGGTGTGGTCCCCACCATTTGACCTTAGAACTGAAGAAGCTTCTCGGATGAGAGGTGAAACGTCTTCAAGCAACTTAAAGAAGTCCAGACGCTTTTCTTTGCAAGCTCCTTTGACCAAGGGGAAAAACTGTATCCCACATGTGTCAGGTGGAAAAGGTCAAACACTTACCTCCATAGGAGAGGTGCACCTGTTCTGGCTGGGTCCAAATAGGAGGAACACTGAGCACCAGCAGGGGTGCAGCAAATAGCAAAGCACAGGCAGCGTGAACAGGCGACATTTTAATGCTGGACCTCAGGGAACAAACGCCTGATTAAAGAAGCCACACACACACACACACACACACACACACACACACACACACACACTTGAATCACATGATCTCCGACTTCTCATAACAAAAATCACATGACTCTAAAGGCACTAGTATAAAAAAATTTGGAAATATTGACGATATTTAAAGCCTTCCAGTAAATGACATGACCTCAGGGGAGGTTTACACATGCTGAGTAGTTAGGATAAACAAAGTCACATACTGTGTTTTGGTCTCTGTTGAGTATGTCCAAATCAGTTAACCTCCATTCAGCCCATGAAACTGCAGAACCAAAACAGCAGAGTCAGCAACAAGTTTAGAAATAGATGATGTGACAATAAAAGCATGTGATGTTGCTTTTCATTGTGCAGTACTGCAGTGAAAGACAGAAGAGGTAAGCACACATGCTATGGCTTGCCTCAGATCAATTAAATGCAAAGGCAAGCAGCTGCTATGCTGGACCTACCAGAACAAAGACACTATCAGTGTCACAGCCCATGAAGACAAAATCGTGCTTTTTAATTGAGTCAAAATCTACTATACCAGCTGATCTGATCTATCAGTTACATTAACTGTCAGTTAGGCTGATCATTGACGATTCTCTTAGCTGTGTGTTTTGGTTGTGAAACGTGCACCAACACTGTGTCAATAGCCGATAGAGGGTGCACAGTCCAACAGCTGAATCATGAATAGGCTGCTTTATTCTCCAATGATGGGCGGTATCTACCGCCGGCTAGTTGCGTAAAAAGAATCAAAGTGTTTAACTGTCATATCTCTGTTTGGAGAAGCAGCGCAAAGTGAGTACATCATATTTACTGTGAACGCTTACAGGTTTGTTTATTTATTTCACTTTAAATGCTGTGACGCATTTATTTTCACATGTATTTCCTCGACCGCTGGTTGGAACACAATTAAAAAGCTTCTTTCTTTTTGTCTGGTTAGCTGTTAGCTACCTGACTGTTAGCTACCTGACTGTTAGCTACCTGGCTTAATTACTTGTTAGCGATAATTCAAAGCTAATACTTTGCAATAGGAAACAAAGAAATTCATGCCTCTGTACAACACTTACAGTTAAGCTAAAGGCAGTGAATGATCATCTCCAAAAGCGCAAACGACTTCTGTTCTGAATAAATTACATATATTCAGAAAAATAAAAACTTCAAAGAGTTACAGCTAAGCTAAACTCAACCAGCTGTTTTGGCTGGAGAGCGCTTCCTGACCACGTCATGTGCAGAACGATAACAATGGCCGAGTGGATTGTGGGAGATGTTGTTTTTCAGCGTGTCGCGTTATAAACAGAATATTAGATGAATAATTAATGATTAATTTACAGTGGTAAACGGTGTATTTGGACATGTGTAGCCCGTATGTTGTGGGGACAAGATAATGTTTACACTGTCCACAATGTGTAGCCATTTATGGCCAGAAACACAAGATTCATACACTGTTAACCTCTAAAATCCTGTGATATGCATTTTTTAATCGCCTTAAAAGTTTTTATCTTGTCTTACAAAAATGGTAAAAGTTAGGAAATGAGCAAAAATTATATAAATAATACATTAAGTTGATCTTAGATGATTTTCAGGCAAAGGCTCTAAGGTTCAGTGAGGTATGTATGTATTTTGTCGTGTTTATAAATTTGTTAACTCATTCATATATCCTTTCTTTTTAGATATAATGGACCCCAACACTGAAGATGCAGAGAGCCAAAATGTTGAGGATCGCTTGCATCATGATGCAGCACAGTACAAAGTGAGCTATCCTAAAGGGAGAAACACAAAACAGGTGAGCTGGGTTGGTCATTATGATGCACAAATCTATTTCTGGTTCCTGGTGCTTTTTATGCCTCTAACTGTGTTTGTGCATCGCCATGTTTTGTCTTTTTAAATTCAGGCGGATGATGCTGCAAATGAAGAGTGCAACAAAAAGAGGTATTTCCTGCCTGTTTTGCATTTTTTTTACAGCCATTTGTTTTTGATTAAAAGCTATATTTGGAATTTGACCCCATCCAGATACCCGGTTAGCCGCTCTGGGAACAACCCAGGCAGAGTGAAGCGGGTAGTGTCATGTAAAAGGAAGACTCATCATCTGACTGTGGCTCGAAGAAAGCAGCTTGGGTCTGGGAGAACTTGTGATGCTGCAAACAAGGAAAATGAAACAAAAGTCTTGCAGGGCACACAGCAGGATATTTTCAGTATGGACCCCTGGGATTTCCCATTTCATGTCAATAATATCAATAACAACCAAGGAACTGATAGAACTGGTTGTGAAGAGGCTGACTACTGTGTACTGACTGAGGTCAGTAAGACGTTTGCATTGTTTTATGAATTACTTTTCTTGCAAACACGCAGCTGAAACTACTTAAAGCTGACTATGTTTTCCAGCTCACGAGGGATCACAACACACTGACTGACGTGCTTTTTGGAAGAAATCTAAGACTCAAAGTGGCTTTAACGTTGTGGCAGAGAAATGTTGGAGAGCTGCTGACATACTTTCTGAGGTGTGCGCCGTGCGGCTGCTTTCAAACATGCGCCAATGCTTGTTTGCTAGTATTTCTAAAGTTTGATTACATCATATTTTTGTACAGAATCCAAGATACTGGTGTGTTTGTTGACTTTCTCCCCCTCATAAGCAAATGGTGAGCACTGAGTTTTGCAAATATCCTAGTAACACTGAGATTATAGTGTTACTACAATAATTTTTATATTTTCCCTGCAGCATCGATGAGGATTCTTCAAAGATAACCATCGGCTGTTGTGTCGACCTCTTTCCTTTAGTTAGCAAAGTCCTCAGCAGTCAATATGAAGAGTGAGTAATCCTGCTGAATAAAACACTTTACACATGTACAATAACATTGTGTTTAGCAGCAGGATAATTGTTTTTTGTATTTTCTTTTATAGGCATCTTACTGTTGGCCTAAAGTGGGTAAATTCAGTTTTAAAAAACTGGTGGGAGGATCTAAAAGATAGTGGCTTCAGTGGCTCAACAAACTCTCTGCTGGATGAGTAAGTTTAATATATTTATTTTTAATTTTAAAAAAAAGGCACAATCTTTTGACATTAATTTGCCAGAGTTGTATGATTTATTCCTTTGTTGCAGAAACTTTCAAGTTTTTAATCAGCAGTTATGCGAATTGTGGCAGCAGGAACCCTTTTTGAAGTCTGTTCCAGGACCTGCAGGAGACATGGCAAAGGTAAACATTCAGAATTTAACACTGTTAGTTATATGTGTATATATGTGTGTGTTTATGCTTTTGAATTTTATGTACATCTTTTTGCCCCTTAGGTCATCGATTCCTTCCTGTCTAAACTCACATGTCAGCAGTGAAGATCCTGAACGCATCGTTCTCCGTTAACAGTTCAATTCAATTTTATTCGCCTCAGGGCGCATGAACAGTCTCCTTAGTTTTGAAAGTGTTATTCATAGCAGCTGCTGACGTTTGCACTGACTGGCTCTTAGTGTGGGCTGGATGTATTTGCAGAGCAGCTTATTTTAATTTCTCTTAATTCTTAATTTCTCTCTTAAGTAGCAAAGTAGTATTTTGTAAATAATTATCCACTTATTTTCACAACGCAGATATTGTGATGACTGTAAGATTTTTGTCCTTTTAACTGCTTCATTAATGATTAACACTTTTTTGTCATTTGTGATTGATATTATAATGATATGTTACAAAAACACTAAAAAGGGATGCCACTAATATTTCTGTTTTATGGCTGCAAAAACAACAATTGCATCTTCCGTAAAACTGTACATGACTGTCTTTACCTTAAGTTGAACTACTCTTGAACTAAACTGTCAGATTACAAGCAACACTCTTTGAAAAAGGTCAACTAACACTAAAGAACCAGATGTTTCTGGCTCTTTAGTGTTTATGCTTCTGAAATGGGTAAAATTTGAAGGCAAAAACAATCAGCAGAATTCACATGGGGAGGAAAGACTGATGGATGTTACATGACATAAAGAAATAAAAGAGATCAGAATTTATAAAGAGGTAATTTAATCAATTCTATGTGTAAAATGCAATGAACATGCTTCAGTTCTGTGCAGCGTGCTAACTCAAAAATGAAACCGTACTCTGTGTACTACTCTAATACCTCTGGATATATACAAGTCCTATGGGGCAGTTTTTTTCCCTCATACATATCCCAGTGTCCAACAAATAACAAGGGTCTAAACTACTAATGATACAGGAGGTTACAGAATCACCAATGTTAAGTACTGTAGCAGAACACAACGCTTGTTAGATATAAATCAAGATAATAGGCTTGTGTTGAAGCAGAGGGCAAACACCAGTTGAGATCAGGGGCTTTCACACTCCAATTAACCCACAAAAACACTCAATAGGAGGAGGAGTGAAATGAGCAAAGGCTGAACCTTTAGAGTTCAGTCTCAGCTGGACTTTAAACCTCATTCACAGTTGAAGTGATTTAAGTAAGGCAGAGATATGTGTTTAAATGTGGGTTTTATCTCACTTTGCACAGATAAGTCGAGGACTGGTGTCTATCATTTTAAGGTGAACCTGAGGATAAAGTCCAACTCTAGCTAGGCACAGGCACTGCAATTCAGTCTCTCAATCCGAACTCAGCTGTCGGCCATTGTGTTTGTGTTTCTGCTGCTTGTCATTCGATCAGAGGAGACAAATACAGAGTGGGAGACGGTTCTGGTACAGACAACACATTTCTACACTGTGTTTCAGGACACAGGTGGCTCTACTTAATGTAAGCGCTTTGATTTTATATTTCTTCAGCACAGTTTTGTATTAGGAGGTGGCCGGGGAGAGGGAGGTCTGGGGTTGTCTGCTTAGGCTGCTGCCCCTGAGACCCGGCCTGGATACGTGGAGGAAAATAGATGGATGGATAGAGTTTTGTATTTGTTACATCAGCTCATATCACTAAAAAAATGCTGTTGGTTTGATCACAGAAAAAGTAAAGGATGAAGTATTTGAGATGCCTGTCGCCAGCAGTGGTTTTGCTGCTGCTTAGAGTGACTGGACTTGACATGGAGCATCTCCAAGCTGAAAACCTAAATCTCCTTTCACCAGATGAGCATAAATTGGTCCTGAACCGTGGAATGAGAGGTATTTATTTATGCAGGCTTTCACTTCCTGTTTGACTTTTCTTTCCTGTCTGTTTCAGTTGTGGATTTGGACAAAAGCTGAACATGATTTGGGAGAATTTTCAAAACACTAGTCTGGAAAATCATTTGATTTTTTTTAAACGCTGAATACATTCATATCTGTGATTATCTGTGAAGATTACTCTTGTGGATGTGAGTTTAATTCCAACCTCTAGATCCAAATCACTTATTGACTCACTGATGATAAGCATTAGGTCCTCTGAGGTTATTTGTGCATTGTTAAAAGGCAATCTATTAGAAAACTTTTAGAAAAGCAATGTTTTATTGTGCTTACCTGGGAAACATTGAGAAATTATTTTGTACAGAAACATATTTTTTGAATGTGATCAGACAGACGGTCCTTTCACATTCAGAAATGTTGGACAGAATTGTTACCCTGTCCATGTAAAGCAGATCAGCAGACTTTATTCCAAGAGTGTGATTTGTAAGTAAAGGCCTCTCTCACATTGGTTAATATTAATGTTCTTAAGAAAATTATCAGGAGAACAGTGAACAAGAGCAGTGTGCATTGCAAGTGCTGCAAGCAGAAAGCCACGGCTCTCTCAAAGCAACATTTCTGCCTGTCTACAGCTTTCTGTTCACGTAAGGTTGTTGGTAATATTAGAAAGATTATCTTTGAAGAAAAGAAACATGACATCATAAAAATGTTTTCCAAGGCACAATTGAAGGAGTATGATGGTTTGGACATGTTGTAGTCCATCTGGGCCACGTGTAAATTTATTTAAAGCACAACAGCTGCACAATAAACCAGATCCCAAAAGTAGAAGATCTGATATTTTGTCCCTCAAATAAATAAAATGATCATTTTCATAAAGTACTGGATTTTTTATAGACTTTTAGCACTTGTGTTTAAATCTAATCATGCCTTGGGTGGAAAGTAATACAAGGTAAGCAAATTTTCAGACATCACTACAATTCCTGACCTGCATTGTTTGTACCAGACCGCAACTATTCACTGAACACCTGAGGGGTCCTTAAATTAGACATAACCAAATTGTGCATGGATTGGGTTTAAAGAAGTTGTTTGGCAATTTGAAAAACAGTTGGGGGGCGGTTCTGTTTCTCTAAGCTAGACGCTAATGTTAGCAAGCTAGTTAGCTTGGTGTAAAAACTGGGGAAAGCAAACAAAGCTTCCGCGTCTCCTTTTGAAGACTTCAAAACGAATGTGCAGCTAAAAAGCTCACCTACTAGCAGCTTGTAATTTGTTTAAGTTATTTAAATTTCACATTTCAATCACGATAATATTACAGAATTTAGAAAGCTACTCCACTGAGTCGAGGATCAGTACATAAACTTTGTGAAATAACTGTCATTTTCACACGTTAAACCTTTTTGTACTAAATGAAGGCAAAACAAATATGTGGTAATTATCAAAAAAGCTAGTAATGGAGTTAATAGACTCGATGTGTGATGTATATGATAAACCTGCCTAATTCTTAGCTATAAAGTAATTCTGATTGCCCTGATTGATATGACTGATGTTTAATTGCTCAACAGTGCTGCCCAGAGACTGCTATGAAATGCTGATGGCCTCTTCAGGCTGGGCCAGAGACGGAGTGTACCTGATCCAACCAGGGGACTCCCCCATTGTGGCCTACTGTGCCATGCAGGAGGGAGGCTGGACCGTGGTGCAGCACATTACTGTGAATAGCAGTGTGAATTTTGATTGCACTTGGGCTGAATATAAGAAAGGCTTTGGTTTTATCACTGGAGATCATTGGCTTGGGAATGACTACCTTCATCAGCTTACCCGTGGGCCTGCACGCTATAAACTAGGAATAAAACTTGTGGACCAAGATGCCGTCACAAAGATGGGAGAGTATGATCCATTCCTGGTGGAGGATGAAGCATCAGCTTATAGACTGAGACTGGGGTTGTTTGAGGGAACGACCGTAGACGCTCTGACGCTGGATACAGAGAACTATCTCCATGACAACCAGAAATTCACCACTAAAGACAGAGACAATGATAACTACTTCCAGAACTGTGCCAAACTGGAGTTTCAAGGGGTGCCGGGAGGAGGCTGGTGGTACGACGCCTGCGCCGGCGCCAATCTGAATCGCAGAAATGTCATCTACTGGCAAAAAGACTGCAACAAGGAGCGGCTGTGCAAGTATGCATGGATGATGGTGAGACCTTCTGACACAGTGAAACTGATTCAGAGTGGAGACTGCAAGAAGGATGAGCTATAAGGACGTCATTCCCAGGATTTGTGCCAGATTTGAGTTTTTGTCATTAAACACAACAATGGGTGATATCAGGGATTTTCTTGTAGTGACTATTGGACCTTCTATTGACCACATTTTATTCAAAAATGCATGGACATGATCACAAAATACTGAAAAGAAACAAAAACGCATCACAAACTTGAAATACAGTAAAAAGTCGCAGTACAGATTTAGCTCTAGCTTTGTTTCCATCACACACCAAGTCAGTATACTTGAAGCAAAGCATGTTTTTTAGTTTTGTTTTTTTCTTTCTGAAAATTGCAAGTGCAGACTCCTGGTTTATCACAGTTACCAAGAAGTGTTTCATGGCATTATAGCTTATGACAGATAAAAAATAAAAAAATAGCCTGTACAAGGCATCTTCCATTCAGTGGGTACACAAAGGAGCAGCGCACCAACATATTTTCCACAGTACATTACAAGTTTGCCAGAAATACAGTGATATTGATTTAGCCACAGTAAAACATACTGTAGTTCAATGCTTAATGAAAACGAAAATATCCTGAGAATAAAATGTAATAAAGAGAATTCATAAACAGTGTGAGCTGTTAAATCCTCCACAAAACTTCCAATGTAAACACTGATATTATTAACAAGTTAGTTATTCCCAATCGGTAAACTCAAGTGATCCATTAATGCCTTTTACGCATGATTCCTATAACCGTATTTTGCACTGGGATCTCGCACGACATGAAAATCATAGCAAGTGATGACAAAACAATGAAGCTGACTCTACACATTTATTCATTGGACAAATTACAGTGGCACACATTAAAAGGCTTTCATGAACATCAAGTAAGTGTCTTGGCTTAACGAGCAAGAGTCCGACATCACGATGAAGCATATTAGCCCTTTTAAATAAAAACAACGACAGCCATTTGGAAATACACCTCATCAGTACAAGCACAATACTTTAAGAATTAAAGAGCTCTGTGTGTCTCGTGACATTTTGGGTATGAGTGCATCAGCTTGACTTTTTAGACTGGAGCAACTTCACGCTGGTCTCCATATATCAAAGTGTGCTGCTGTGTAAATCAATGGCGTAAATGTGCTTCAACTTGGAGAAAAATACTGGTTTGTTTTGTATATTTTTGACCCTACATACAGTGTACAAAATATATAATATTCTTCCAGCAGCAATTACCATACACTATAGCAAACCTACTGATTAATGAGCAGCACTATAAGATGTACTAGGCTCTGGATATCTTTTGATATCACCTAATACGTATGCACAAGTTCATAAAGCCAAAGTTATTGGTACAAACATATGATTTACAGCCACTGTCTCACAACCTCTTCATGTCATTTTAGAGCTGACCACGGGGTTTTGTCCATACCAGTATAGTTTCTCTTCAATCCTTTTCTTTTTCCACTGGCAGAGTAAGAGCATGCGGAAGGTCTTTTGGAAGGTCTTGTTGCAAAGGGCGTAGCACATGGGATTGACGGTGCTGTTGACGTAGCACAGCCAGTAGCCCAGGTGCCAGAGGGAGACGGGGATGCATTGAGAGCAGAAGGTAGAAATCAGCACCATGATGTTATAAGGAGTCCATGTTAAGATGAAGGCCAGCAGGATGGCGCTGAGAGTTTGAGCTGCCTTTCTTTCCTTGATCAGCACCATCCTTTTTCTCTTGGTGATCTGGCTCTTCAGCGTTGTGTCTATGGGCTTGGACATGGTGGAGGTGGACGGAACGCTCATGGACTCGGCCGAGGAGAATGTTGGCGACGTGATTTTCGTGTCTCCGTTTCTGCTTTGGTGCTCCGTGTGACTTTCCTTGGTCACTGGTTTAAACTTGTAGGACACACACTTGCTGCTCTTCTGTGAGTTGCTTTTGGGTGGCGTCTGAAAGAAACTCTCTTCATCGTAGCTGCTGAGCTGCTCGCTCTCGCTGCATACTCCACTCTTGGTGGCTTTGCAAGCCTGGTTCCCGAAGGAGGTCTGGAAGCCTCCTGGAGACACTGGCCTGTCCTCGTCCTCAGAGGAGGCGTAGCTGTTAAAGGTGGTCAGCTGACCAGCTTTGGACCACTCATCGCTGGTGGTGGCCGCTGATTTGACCGCGTTGCTCCTGGTTGAGGAGGACCACGAGGCCTGGTTCCTGTCTTGTGATGCTGAACTTAGTTTACAGCTAAAACAAGATCTGATGATGGTTTTCTGAGGCTGAGCCACCCCAGACTCTGTAGAACAGTTAATCCCTTGAAGCTCTGCAAGATCTTTGGTCCTCTTTTCTGTCTCCTTGTAGATTCTGCAGTAGAGGATTGTCATGACAGATACAGGGACGTAAAAGGCTGCAATAGCTGTCCCAAAAGTAATTACAGGCTCAGAGAAAAACTGGATTTGGCATTGCCTCTCGGGTACAGTCCTCTTTCCAACAAAGTACTGCCAGCAGAGAATAGGCGGGGCCCACAGAACAAGTGACACTAGCCACGCTAAACCTATCATGATCCCAGCTCGTTTAGGAGTCCGTTTGGCCCTGTAAGTTAGAGGCCTGGTGATGGAGAAATATCTGTCAAAACTGATCACCAGCAGGTTCATGACTGAGGCATTGCTAGCTACGTAGTCCAATGCCAACCACAAGTCACAGGCGAGGTTTCCCAAGGCCCAGTAACCCATCAGTATGTAAGAGGTGTATAGATTCATGGAGAAAACACCTATGATGAGATCTGCAGCTGCCAGACTCAGCAGGTAGTAATTGTTCACTGTCTTCAGCTGGCTGTTGACTTTAAAGGAGACCATTACTAGAACATTCCCCACAATGGTAATGAGGCTGACTATAGCCGAGACAGTTGCAATGGTGATCACCTCCCAGAGACTGTGGGTGACCAGGTGGATATCCATCGTGCTGGTATTTACTGTGGAGTTCATGTTTTCTCCTTCCATGGCCTTCTCCTGGTTATTGGCATCCAAGTATCGCAGGAGTCTTTAATACCAGGTTTGTCATTTCCACTAAGCCCTCCTGAAAAAAAGAAGAAAAGAAGCATTACTCTGTATGTCTGCCACTAGATGGCAGCAGTTCAGTGTACATGAACTAGTCAAACCTGGACTTAAATTCATGTTGGGGTGTTAATACTGAGGCTGATATGTTTGTGTCTGTGACAAAATGCAAAAAAGGACAAATGATTTTATCTTGTGTTAAAACTGAAATTCTGAAACAGACAAGTGATGATGGGGATTGTAGTTTTGTTATTCATTCAGCCATTGCAATTTTAGAGAGTGAATATTTTAGTAATCATCCTTCTCTGACAGATATTCACTGCATTTTGAGATTCTTGTTGAGAAACTAATTGTTCGCTCACATACAAATATGTTCTATTTGTAATAACAAGTTTCTTTTACATGTGTAAATAAAACAGTATTTTAAATATCCCTACTCGAAGCGCCTAATATATTTGCATAAGTAAATAAGTACATTTATTTATAAAGCAATATCAATTTATATCCAACAGAATGGAGCAGACCTATCAAGTGATGATCTATTATTTTTGTGTACTTACTATGTTACACGTTGGCTGCTTGTGATTGGCCCGAGCCTACAAACAATTGTCAGATGCTTGGAAAGGTTGTTGGCACTACTAGTCACATGCATTGTGAGTAGTCGACATGATTGTCAATTTAACATGTTTTTGGAGGGAGCGTTAATCTGCTGGAAGATGTTTAATTTATACATATATTATATATCATTTCACAGATCCAGTATAGCTAGTAATTGCCTGCATACACTTGAGACTTGCTGTCATCTTATTTGCATGTATCAGTCTGCTGTCATTTTTAGGATGGATTAGCAAGTAGGCAAACCTGATGTTTGATCATTAGCTTGGTTTCTCCTGCTAATGCATTTTCTTGGATGTAGGGGGGGAAAGTAGCATATGAATGCAGGGACAGTAAGTGACCACTACAGCTATTAATTCACAACTGATCACAGTGAAAAATCGCACATGCACATGGAAGCTCACAACATACAGGGTTCCTCCCTCTCAGGTTAGACCAGGTGAAAATGTTCTTCTGTGCTGGAAACTACAGTTAATAGCGAGTGTGAGGCTATCCACCCAAAGCCCGTAGGAAATGGCTATGGCTTGATGCCTCGTCTATCATGGAGTACAAACACATCTGTGTGGTCTTGCACTGACTTTGATCAGTTTGAAATCTAGTGAAGCAAGATTAAATCCTGTGAAACTGAATATATTTGCATATACAACTGATACAGATTCATACCCATTCATGTAGACTATTTGTTTATATATAAATGCTACTTGGCTGTGAGGCACTAGTTTTTCTCTTGTTTCCACGAGTTAATAGGCTGTCGTTCCCTCTATCTTTCTAGAGCGGTCAGTCTTCCCTCAGGAAATGCTGCAGCCAACTGGGCACCACGGCACTGGTATTTTCATCCCTGCCACTTGGTCTGCTTAAAATTAGGAAATCGCCATGTTACAGCCCAGCATCTGTGTCCTGTGTACGACCTTCCAAACTCTAAAACTTTATGTTCAAATTCACACTTATTCTGTTCGACTGAAAATAATACAGCTACGGCATATGGTGAATCTACCATCAGAGAGGTGCAGATGCTCTGAGACTCTCAGTGCAGAGCAACAATGAACTCAGTGCAGATAACCTCCATGTGGGTAGCAGCAAATGCAGCCTCAGGCTGTCAGCCAGAGTACTGGCACACATGTAGGTAAAGACAGCTTTACATATTACCCTCTCAGCCAGCCTGTTCCAAAACACAGGCACAGCTAGGAAAGCAGTCAGTGTTGTGGAACTGGGTTTCAGACACATATACAAGCATTTATGTTTTAGCTGACTAAGCCTGGACTAAAAGACTACTTTCATTTACTAAGTAAATAACCAAATGTAGATATCTAACAGTATCCCAAATGGTAACCTTAGTTTAGGCACAAAAAATTGTTTAAATCTTTGAATCTAAAGTCGTCGAACTCCAGTTTACTTAAAATGACTTTGTCAGAGTTATTTTGAGATTATTTTGTGATCCTTCTAAAAAAACATTTTTTTAAACATTCCATGTTTCAGCCTAATCTTCCTTATCTGGAAAATGCTGCTGGAGTCTGAGCTCGGGTAAAAGGAAACTTTCTCTTAACGTCACGCTCAGGTGGATAACTCCTCCAGAAAGAGATGTATCGCTGTCCGCAATGTAATTCTCTGGATATAATCACAACCTCACTTGAGAAATAACGTTCTTATTCACAGGCATTTCTTGGACAGTGCCAGGTAAGCAGGAGTGCCAGCGGTAGCCTGAGGCCCGCACAAATAACATTACAGTGATGGTGCGACAGTTGGAGTCCTCTGGCAGGACTTCAAATGTCCCTCATCTTGTTATAGAATAGCATTTCATATCACATTACTCGAATCCCTGCATCATTACCCTGCTTTGAATAAACTATTTACAAATTTCAAATATGGGCGGCATGCTGTGGTTGGCGCTGTCGCCTCAGAGCAAGAGGGTTCAAACCCACCGGCCGGCTGGGGCCCTTGTGTGTGGAGACTTCATGCTCTCCTTGAGCTTGAGTGGGTTCTCTTCTAGTACTCTGGTTTCCTCCCGAAGTCCAAAGACATTACCCACTCCCATAACAAGCCTCAAGCTGAGAGAGTTTTTGCCATCACCATCTTAGTGTTTTTAACCTTGATGTGTTGAGTGACCAGTGACTCCTGTGAAACTGAGGATTAATGACTTCAGTCACAAATCTTAATAATTCACATTTCTGACTCTTGTAATCAAAATCAACCTAAAGTTCTAGTGATTTCAACCTATGACTAGTAATTTAATCCATAAAGTCAACATGAAATTATTTATTGAGATTATAGAGCAAGGTGCCTCTTGGACTTCAATATAACCAGAAGTCTTTGGAAACCAGAGTGTTCCCCTGTGGGCCATTTAAAATAATGTAGGTTAATGGAATTTCTTTGTTGGCTTGCTTTTTTAGACCTTTTATAGCATCAATCAACTATCAGTAGCCAATATACTAAGACTGGAGACACTAACATGCTAAAATAAGACACTGAATTGACGATGGACTTTGCAGCTAGTGTGATCCCATCAAAAGATGGATCAATTTGTCAATGTTCATTACACAAAAAATGACAACTAATGCCAGCCTCAGTTAACATCTTCCAGATAACATCATGTTAGTGTCAATGTAGCACGGCAAAAGTAACATGTTGAATAGCACCACTGTCATTTGGAGTCCATATTCACTCCCTGTTAGTTTCTTTTTATGGTCTGCTAAACACAAAGTAATTCTGCTGCTCAAACTTCCAACACGTTCACAAGCTAGGTATTAACGAAGCCCCATTCATAGACTGTAAAAACAGCACATATGTTGCCACCTTGTTGCCATGCGTCATTTTCTAAAGTCCTGTTAAGTCTTTAAGTGCTTCCAATGTTGGCATCTTGGAGTTTTGAAGCCAGGTGTCAAACAGTCAGAGCTTTCCAATCACAAGGTAGGCCTGACCTAAAGTATGCACTGTTTCATCATCTATTTTACTGTAAATGGAAGTGCTTTGGGAAAATCAATATTACAACTTGTCACGACACAAAAAGCTGGCAACTGAGACCACGAACTAATCAGACTTCTATATTCAGTCATGGTATCGGGCACCGACCCTTAATTCTAAGGGTTCACATATCAGGATGTGATAAAAAATTATCTGGTTCTGAGCTGGTCTTAAAATTAGGCAAATATAACCTCAGATAAACAACAACATATGACATATTATACCATGTAATTATTTATTCAACAAAGAGAAAAACGAAAAACGAACTATATCCCATGATTAAATAGCTTGTTGAATCACTTTTAGCCACAATAACTTGGAGTTTTTGTGTTCTGTGTGACTGTAACAGTCTCTCACATCATTGTGGAGGAATTTTGGCCATCTGTTCTATACAGCGATGCTTCATTTCATTGAGGCATTTGTTTATGCACAGTTCTCTGAAGGTCCTTGCTTAACTCTAGACTGTCTGGACTTTGACCGGGCCATTGCAATATCTTGATTCTTTTGTTTTTCAGCCATTCTATTGGAGATTTGCTGGTTGTAGGTGGTCTCTCCTGACTCATTTTTGGCACGCTTTGGATGGCCTCTCACTTGTCTCTAAAATACTTTGGTATACACAGGTGTTCATAGTTAACTGCAAGGTACCCAGGTCCAGTCCCTGCAAAACAACACCAAATCATCACCCCTCAAACCCTCCACCACTCGGACACTATGAGCTGATATGCTGTTTCATGTTCACCAAATGTGGCACTTTGCATTATGGCCAAACATCTCCACTGTTGGGGTCTTTGAGCCACATCACTTTGGGGTTATTCAGGAGGCAGAGCAGGTCCCCCAGGAATCAGACGTTTGGTCGTTCACTCCCTGACTGCTCCAGTCTGTAGGCAAAATATCCTTGAGCAAAATATTAACCCTAAGTTAGATGCATCCATAAGCGTGTGAATGTTAGAAAACACTTAAGCATAGAAAAAGGTGCCAGAAGTCTTAGTTTGTTCAGAAAAAACTTTGCAAGTCATGCTAACTCATGCTGACATGTTCTTTTTAGCGAAAAGAGGCTTTCTTTTGGCAAACCTTGTAAACAAGCTGTACTTCTTCAGACTTTTTCTAGCTGTACTGTCAGGAACTTGAACATTTAACATGCTAACTGAAGCCTGTAGGGTGTGAGATGTAGCCTTTGGGAGGTTTTTTGCAATTTCTCTGAGCATTGCACAGTCTGACCTTGGCGTGTGCTGTGACGTCCACTCGTGGAAAGTTGGCAACTGTCTTGATTGTTTTTCACTTGTGAATAATCTTTCTCTCTGTAGAATGACAGACTTGAAGTTGGTTCTAAATGACCTTATACTCATATCCAGACTGATGTTGTTGCTGACGTCTTTCCTTCTTGCAAATTCTGTTAACACATCTGACCAGCAAACTGCCAAAATCTCTTCTTTTATAGAGGTGCTCACAATTTCCGATGATCAGTTAATCGAGTGTATTTAATAAGCAGTACCTGGCTGCTACTTACCCTCTTAACTCCTATGGAAACAGTAAGGCTGTACTGAGTTTTTCATAAGGTCTCTGTGCATTTTAGCTAAATTTCCTCTAAAAAGGTTAATCTAAGGTTGTATTTACCCAATTTTCATCCGCCAAGGGCCAGATGATTTTTATTATGTCCTGATCCGTGAAACCTTATGGGAGAAAGAGGGCGCACTTTTACCATGACTAACTGGAAGTCGTTTTGGGTACTTTTAGCTTCTTGCAGAAGAATGCGGGTTTAAGACGCTTCTCTCATGGCTTACTTTTTAATCCTGCAAACAATATCCAATCTATGGTCACATCTTCTATTTTGTTTCCCATTTCTTCCTGAAACAGCCGTGTGTTTTTGCCACAAATGATGGTAAGTGAGAGTATAAATGTTAAATTTACTAGTGGACACCCTAACAGTTGGTTGAAGCTATAAAGCTGAGCAGCGCAGCCCATAGCTAATAAATCTTTATTAATCACTATGAGAGGCACACACTCTTTCCACATAGTCATCTGATACATTTTTTATTACAATGGTCATAGGCTATTTAATGTGGCCTGGAAAATATTACCCTCCCTAAACATAACAGCTTTGGCAGTCTTGCGTGAACATGTTTGCTGAGCCCAGATAAGTCAGGTACACTCTCAAAACGCACAGGCGTGGACTATTTCTTAGTTGTCTTTGGTTTTTCTGTTAGTTTTTCCAATTTTGTGATGCAAGCAATCTGATTACCCTTTTTCAGAAAAGAATGAATTAATGATGATAGGTGCACAGAGATATTTCTGACTCACTGATGACTGATGTGTTCTAGGCTTACAGGCACACACACAAAGAATAGACTTGTTCTGCTGCTTGACCTCAAGTGGTAGAACAAGTCAAGCCCGCTAATAGCTTCTAAATCGAAGCAGGAAGCATTTTAATGGTACACTCAGAACTCAGACTGTGGAGTAAACATGGCCTCTGCCTCACTATAAATAGTGAATATCGTCTGTTGTGTCCTGTTTTTGGAGCTTTTTATGGATGAAGCTTGTTATCAAATGTGACGTACACTGGGGAGTAGGCAAGCTTTGTGACCCCGTGACACAGGGGAGGTTTGAAAAATGTTTGATTTGAACTTACAAAAAGCTTTTAAATTATGGTTTTAAACAAGAGGAGAAAAGAGTGCATCAGCTCCAAACAGTGGTGCAAAGAAATCGTGTTGCTCTTGCCAAGGAAACTGAGTCTCCCTTATTAATTATACATACTAAGGCTATCAGACCATTCTCTCAAATATTGTGTTGGTATGCATAAGTAATGGTCATTGATCCAGTGATTAACAGTGTGAGTCCGCACAGGTAGCACAAATCTGGTCGAAGGCTGGCTTCCTGCAGGTCCTCTGGCACCTCGCCATCAGGGCTCCTGTGCAGCAGCCTCATACACTGCCCCCACCAAGCCTCCTAGTCACAGGTAACCTTTCTTTACATTGTCCTTTGGTGGAAACACAAATGCACAGCACAGCGAAAAGCACAAACTCAAATAGCGCGTGTGTGGCATTAGTAAAAGGGAAAGGACATGAGAGTGATCATCAGAAGGAAGAGAAAGCAACACAGAGACAAGTCAAGGGAAAACAAACAGAGGCAACCATACTGTAGGGCATGCATCTGCATGATGGGCGATGTGCAAATCAGCCCAGAGCTCCTCGACACAATGGTTTGCAGTCAGTTCACTGGACTATTGCTAAGAGCTCTCGATTCTGGAAGAGGAGGGTGGCTATACGATATTGCTTGAATCACGTTTGTGCCACTGACGGGGAAAGAACAAATAAAAATATTCACATTAAGAACTGCTGCCAAGCACAGATATTTAAGCATTAGTGGTAAAAGGATGATTGTGTAGGATAAAATCAGCTAAAGGAAAAGATCAAAATACGAGTTTTGCTGCTTAACAGTTTTGTTTTTCAAACCAGCACAAGTTAAATTACAGCTTTCCTCCCGTGAGAAATGAGGACCACGATCGTTAGGCGAATATTGTGATGTGCATAGATTTGGCAGCTACTGGAGGGAATAAAACAATAACAGTGAGTACTGTTTTATGAGTGACTACAACATTTCATTAAGACCCCATCATTTGGATAATGATCTGGCTCATTTGAATTCTTGTGTGAAGAATTTGCTAAATATCGTTTGTGCCTCTGGGTTTTCTGATGTTTGTTCCCAACTCGCCCCATTTCCTCTGCGCTGATATTACTTTTGTCTGCACAACAAAAGATATTGGAAGAACCAAGCAGCTGAGGGAGGAACACATGTGAGACTGCACACCATTACATGGATGATGGCAGGTTTCTTTATGGTACATCTGAGCATGAAAACTCCCAAGTTGAAAACGTGAAATGTTTCACCATAAAATCCTAATTTTACTAATATAAGAGTGGACGTTTCTGGTGGTAAAACAGACTACTCGTCCATAACATTGCCATTACTGTTCCATGGTAACTGCTTCCAGGATTTTTCTCAAGAGCACGAGCACCTCTCAACGTTTGTTGTAACACCTCACAAGGTCTGTGGGGACAGGAAGGACTCGTTAAAATCACGCTTCACTGCTTAATCCTTCTCTGTTTTGTCATTTCCAGTTAATCAGAGAGGGGAAGGGAAGAAAAGAGCTTTAGCTTTTGAAGGAAAAGATCGATTGGCTTTGTGGAAGTGAATCAAAATGCCTTTTTTTTTCTTTGTTTGCTTGTTTAATTCAACTAAAGAAGATGAATTAAACATTTTAGAAGTGTGCAGAAGAAAATCAAATATATGCGCTATTATCAGATGTTTTAAGACGAGGCTAAAGACGGTGATTGGAGGGCTGGAGAGGAGATGGTGTGGGGCAGAAATATGACTGTGCAATAAAACAGCACAACTACAGACCGATTAAGCGTCTACATAAAAATGTGTGTAGGTTATCAAAGCATTCAGGAATCTAAAATTAAAACTCCAAAGCAATTAAGGGGAAATAATTAAGATATGTGAAGAGTCAAGGCTTTATTGACTTAGCAATAATTAGGAGCAGCAACTTTTATAAAACAACTGACATATGGCTAATAGATGCACATATAGTGTAGTGTACGGTGCTTTTCTGGACAGCATGTCTGCCTGAAGAACAAATGTACACATCTTTTTGGGAGCTCTGCTGCATTCATTAAGGTAAAAGGCTACATTAAAAAAACATGCCGAGACCTCTCAGACATGCACTTGTGCACACATGATGCTATTTCCTCTTGAATCCAGGTCATGCCTTTGTGCATTAATCAGAAAGGGCATGATTCTCAGGAGACTGTGAAACGAACCACTGATGTAAAGGGGGGGAAAAAAGATGAATACTCACAGTTGACTTTCATCAGATCTCACAGTCTTCTGTTTAAGGGAAGACCGTGTCTCCTGGTGAGAGCAAAGTTCATTTTTAATCCCTTTGTTTTGCTTGGGAAGCCTTTCTCCTCAAGTATGGTGCTGAGGAACAGGCTCACAACACAGTTGGAGAGAGGATTGTGGTGGATGAGAAATCCTGCTGACTTGACCCTTGCGTGCCGGAGGGGTCTTGGGGAAAAGTGTGAACGCAGTGGCTCAGGAGAAAGCTGACGGAGAGTGGGAGGAGGAGGGTGGGTACCGGAAGATTTCGGTCATCCCTGCTCAAGAGGCGCAGCGTACGGCATCACATTATTCTCAGCTGTCCAAAGCGGTCTGGTCTGTCCAGATGAGAAAAGTATCCTTAAAGTTGCAAGGGATCCTTCCTCTGGCATTAATAAATTAAATAAGAATCTAAGCCAGAGACAAAGAATAAAAGCAGGAGAGAAGTTTCCCTGCTTGTCTGAGCTGAGTGGAAACGGTGCTGCCTCTCAGTCAAGTTGAAGCAGAATGTCACTGAGAGCCAGTCTGATGCCTGAGCCAAGTCACTGCCATTGCCACACTGCTGCTACTGCTGCTGTTGGAACTACACAGACACAGATGTAGCTGACGCTAGCAAACTGGGAGGAGAAATTCCCATAGGGCTGGATGGTTCATCACGTTTCGGGACAGTGAGCATGCAGCTTAGCCCACAAAGTGTGAGAAGAAGAAAAGAAAAGGGGGGAGGAGGTTGCCGGGTGGATTGAAGGGGTCCGTTTTGGAAGGTGTGGGTGTGGGAGGGAGAGCACGAGAGGGAGTGCGTGTGTGGAGGTGGCGGCGAGGGTGGTGTTTAGTCAGACCAATTGAACCAAACGTTGTTACTGTGTGGCTACATGTGTCACACGAACCATTAATTACCTCCAATGGCATGTCCTTTGTCTGTGTTTTACAGAAGTGCAATAAGAGACAGTGACCCTGGTTATCGCTGCTCTCTCACTGTTTGAACAGCACTGAGGCTGAAGCAGTGTGGCTATCAGCAAACTCATCTGCAGAACATAAAACACCACTGCTGCCTTTGTGCTCACTTGGGAGAGTACTGCCATGGCTGGGCCAGATAAGCAGACTACTAAAGTGACAGATGTTTTTTTTGTTTTTTTCACCAGCACCCTTGTGTGTGAGATTGTGTCTATGCGTGTGTGGCTATTAGGGAATTGTTTGCTTGGGATTAGCAAACTGGTGGATGGGTGCTTTAATCCGGATAAAGGGTGCCTATCAGTCCCATGAGCTCCAATCAGATCACCAGAGAGATACACCAATAAAATCAAGTTGCTGCCAATGTGTTACTTTGAACAGTAGAAAATAGCACATTTTTTCCTTATCTAGTTCATCTGTAATCTGCATATTGATTAGCTTGCAGGAGAAAATTGACTCACCTTGCGAGTCAGCACCCTGCTTGGAAACATGCAGATGAGGACAAAATTATTATTAGAAATGTAAAGTTTCTGTCAAAAATTTCCTTTACTTTTTTTAATATATATATATCTTTATAGATAGATAGATATAAACTTCAGCAATGGTTCCAGTCATTACTTGAGCTGGGACTCCACTTCTGCAGAAGCATTTTAAAGACAAGTTGAACAAAGAGTGACTGAAAGCACATCCTTTGGTCATGAGATGAAACTAGAGCTGTTTCCCACAGTGAGACATGGCGGTGGGTGTATCATGCTGTGGGATGCTTCAGTGAGTTTGGTACAGGGAATCTCGTAAAGCTGGAAGGGAAAAGAATTAGTGAAGATGTTAAAAGAAGAACTTCAAGCAGTCAGCAGCAAAACTGGGCGTTGTTCATCGTTTTGTCTTTCAACACAACTATGACCTAAAACATACGTCGCTGAGGATGAAGAATAAGCTTCAGGAAACCAAAGTGAACACTGGTCTTATTGACGGTAGCAAAGCAAATCTGTGGGGTGACTGAGGAGGAACAGCCTGAGATTGCTCAGGAGACATTTATGGAAACTACAATAAATGACTGCAAGCTGTTGTCCAGCTAAAAGGAGAAAAAACTGACTTTTTGCATTTTGACCCTGTGAAATTTTAGTTTCTGTTTGCAGACTACTGTAACATAATGTCAGTATTCAAAATAAAAACTGTGTTAAAAAATTCCTTGCTTTGTTTAACAGGACTTGGGAAATGCTTTTTTTTTTTTAATGAAATTTTCACGGCTAATAATCCGTGGCTGCTGGAAGACTACACGTTTGGAGCGAGAGTCGCAAGTTCCATTCCCACCCTGTATCCAGTAAGGGTCCTGGCTAGACCCCCACCATGCTAAAACCAAGCCCTGGAATGGCGTGGATACGTCTGCAGCCTGTCCACAGTTTGGACACAAGCATTTCACTACATGTTGTACTCTGCATGACTGTGTGTGTGGCAAATAAAGATTGTACTTGTTGTTGAATTCTGTCATAATCTGTACATGTAGCTAATTCATACATGATCGATTAAAGAAAGAAAGAAAGGAAAAGAAGGAAAATGATTTCACTTTCACGCGCTATTTTTTTTCTCCTTCTTCTTCTTCTTTTTCTTCTTTAACATTTCAAGCTTCTTAAATCTTATTAACTGTAACAAAATAGTTGGCACAGCAGGCACCTAACAGAAAGCTCGGGAACAAGCAGTCTGAATACATCGGCTCATACTGATTTATTTACAAACTGGAATAATACAAGTAATACAAACTGAGTGAATCTTTGATTTTCACCATGTCTGTGTATCAGCTAATAGAAAGTCCCTCACAGGAAACAAAATCCATAATCAGGAATATGGAAGTAATAAATAAAGCAAAGGCGAAAACTGAAAATTAATTACCCAGCTATGAAATGATTAGACTTCTGCGTTGCAGAGAATAGGGCCGCTCTTCCCCCTGTGGAGCAATACAGGCTGGCGAGTGGATAATATACAGATGACACTCACTCCTGCACTTCATATTGACATTTATTATAATGCAGCTCTCACACTGAGATGATTTTACTCCCGGATCAGAGCTAGATGCGAGTGGCGTGACTGATGTGCTTTGTGAAAATCCCACCACGTCCCTTCTAAAAAAGCACGGCATACACCCACCCCACCCACCGCTACACCTTCCGCCCTGCTTGACAGTCTAATCCAATGTGATTTCCAGGCAGCAGGCCAAAGGACAGACACCTTGCTCATCATTACCACAGAATCGCTGACCTGCACAAAGTTTACAGTGCAGCCATCATTTTTACGTGACAAATCCACACACTGACATGCAAACAGAAAAGTGCAAATTTGCATACATGTGCATCATTGCCTTACCGGTGGTTAGAAATGTCTAACTTTTGAATTATATCCACTTTAAAATGTGACCTTTTGCCTTTAAAGCTAAAATATGATGACTTTCCAGCGCACCTCAGCGAGCTGCAGTGGATATCTTTTTGATTTGGACTCGCCTCAACCCTCTCAGCAAAATCACATTCCTTCCTATTGATATCTCATGAAAGCAGATGTCAGGAAAGCAGGGAAACCTCGCTAGCATCCAGGCATCATCCTCACCGTTCGTCTGCATCCTAAAGGCACGACCGTTTTTCCACAGGTCATGGTCTGGTCCCTGCCTGCCTGCGAGAGAGACAAGATGGGGGAGGACATCAACGCAGCGAGAGATGGATTGCATCTGTCCACAGTCCACGGGGGCTTGCTTATCTCCTGACCCAATTGTGCACCCATATGCTGGCAAAAAAGATCAGCCTCTACTTTGTGCAGCTCTAATATCTCTTCCGTCTCTTTTTCTATCTCTCTGTCTATCCTCATGCTTATTATTGAAGTGTTTTAGGAGTTAAGGACTGATCCATTACTGCCCTCATCCCCTCTTTTTTTATTATTATTATTTTTTAGCCAAATCACATTAGCGTCTATCAATATAAACAATAAAGACGCAGCGATTAATAGCTCACTTTGGAGACCTCTTTAATCTAGCTGATCTCTGACATGCGTGGCCCTCCACTCTGGCTGAAAGAATCGACTCCTCTGATGTCCCGGCTTAGATGTGCAACAAATGTTTATCTGCTTGTCAGGCCTTTCTTTTCTCCCTACATCCCCAAGCAACAACTCCTTTTTGACAAAATGATTTGCCAATAACTTGCACTGTTTGAGCGGATTTACAGGTCCCCCTGCTGCGGCACTCTCCTTTATCCCCTAGTAAAAAAGAAAAAAGCAGAAAAAGGCTGTCCTTTTTGGTGCTCTTAAGATGATAAGATACACAGAGCTTTTAATTTTCCAAGCGAATGACTGCACACATACAACGTTTAAAGACATATTAGAAATTTTCCACCATTTCATCAGAGCTCTGGATCATTTCATGTTAAAACTAGGCTCTAAATTAAGTGTCTGTCAAGGGCTTGGCTTTCCTCAATCAGCCGGAGCTGGGTGGCACATGAGCTCTCCCTCATTCCACTGCAACTTTAATGTTGCCTTGACAGAGGAGATTAGGTGGTAGGCAGCTCTGATTGAGCTCTTCTTGCAGACCTGTGGTTTCTACTCCTTTAAGGACATCCAACACCGACTCTTCAGACACTCCTGCGTCAACAACAATGACCTTGTCTGGATGAGACCGGGGCCAACCTGTGCAGGTGTGAGTGTTTGTCATGCAAAGAGAAAGCCAACCGGATAAAGGTTTATCCCGCAGCCCCACAAAGTACAGGATAATTATATTATAATTATATTAATTAAGAAGCCAAATATATACCACGCACTTTCGCTTCGAAGCAGCATTAATTGAGGCTCACTCATAACACACAGATAGCATTTGCATTTTTATGTTTATGTTACATGTAAACAACTTATTTTTTTTGTTTATTTATTTTGCAAAAGCATGCATGACTAATAGCAGTAGTTAATGGCTTTTTACTGTCAAGCGACAGTGCACTACCATTAGAATATAGCATTTCAAATGTGAGGCTGTCTGTAACACCATACAAGTGAGCAGTCAAACAGAGCCGTCCTGTCAAACTTTCTCCACTAAAATTACAGTTACTCGCATTTTTTTCACAGCACCAAAGCACAACTTTAGACTCAGATGTTACGACATTGTTATCACTGAACACTAGCACAATATGTGTAAGTTTAGCGTGCTTCTTAAACCTTTTCTCACACATCTCCTGCACACGTGAACGCTTGTAGAAATTATCCTAAGAGTCAGAATGTGCAAATTTCCAATGCGTCTCCCTTGCGCCCATGTGTTGGTGTGCAGGTAAGTGCACGTACTACACGATGTGAATCTCCTGTTTCACCACAACCCAAAAGTATTCTGTTGGACTGAGAGCTGGTGACTCATTGATGTGTTCAAGAAAGCAGTTTGAAATGATCTGAGCTTTGTGACATGATGGGTACACTGCGGTCATGCGGACATGGTCAGCCACAATGCTCAGTGTTTAAATGATACGCAGCTGGTACAAAAGGGGCAAAAACTGTACAGAGAAAATATCCTCAGCACCACCAGCCTGAAATGTTGATACGAGGAGGGACGGATACAAGTTTTCATGTTGTTTACACCAAATTCTGACCCTACCATCCGAATGCTGCAGAAGAAATTGAAACTCATCGCCTTTCTTCACCACTCTGATGCTTGTTTTACTTGTGCAGTATCTGAATCCCGTCTTCATGCCTTTATGCACTGAGATGCTGCCATGTGAATGGCT